CCGTGAAGCTATTGCAAATCTTGGTGACGAATGTGCGCGGCGCTAAGGCGAGAGCCACATGTTGAAAACGAGCCGCCCTCAACCCTTGAAGCTCTTGCAAATCTTGACAACGTATTTGCGCGGCGCTAAGGCGAGAGCCCTCAATCCGTTTTGTAAATTTTGAAATTCGATTGTGCGCGGCGTTAAGGCGAGAGCCACATATTGAAAACGAGCCGCCCGAACTCCTAGCAAATTTTGAAAACGAGCGTGCGCGGCGCTAAGGCGAGATTCCCATTTTGAAAACCACCCGCCCTCAATCCGTGAAGCTCGTGTAAAGTTCGGTAACGAATGTGCGCGGCGCTAAGGCGAGAACCACATTTTGAAAACGACCCGCGCATCATCTGCGAAACTCTTGTCAATGTCTAAGCTTTAGGGTCATAACCGGTGAGGAACTCTCCGGCGAAACGCCCAGCCCGCCCTAAAAACTGACCTCGAGGTGCGACATGGAGAAGTTATGCATGCGGAGAAGGAATGGAGGAGGGAAGGAGGAGGAGGAGGAGGAGGAGGAAGAGGATGAGTAGGAGGAGGGGGAGGAGAATGAGGAGAATAAGGAGACTGAGGAGAATGAGGAGAATTAGGAGAATGAGGGGAATGAGGAGAATGAGGAGAATGAGTTGAACGGCGGGAATGAGGAGAATGAAGCTAATGAGGCGAATGAGGGGAATGCGGAGAATGGGGAGGAGGAAGAGGAGGAGGAGGAGAAGGAGAATGAGGATAATGAGAATGAGTAGAATGAGGGGAATGAGGATAATGAGGAGACTGAGGATAATGAGGCGAATGAGGGGAGTGAGGATCATGAGGAGAATGAGTAGAATGAGGAGAATGCGGAGAATGAGGAGCATGATGAGAATGAGGAGAATGATGAGTAGGAGGAGAAGGAGAAGGAGGAGGAGGGGCAGGAGGGGGAGGAGGGGGTGGAGGAGGAGGAGAGGAGGAGGAGGCGGAGGAGGAAGAGGCGGAGGAGGAGGAGGAGGCGGAGGAGGAGGATGAGGAGGTGGAGGAGGAGCAGGAGCAGGAGCACGAGGAGGAGGAGGAGCAGGCGTAGGAGGAGGAGAAGGAGGAGGAGGAGGGGGATGTGGGGGAGGGGGGTGAGGGAGGGAGGGAGGGAGGATAGAGGATAGAGGAGGATAGAGAAGAATGGAGGAGGAGGGAGGCGAGGAGGATGCATACACCCTCTAGCCTGAGCTGCTGCGCGGCCTGGCATCAGTGGACCTCCCCAAACCATGGCGTTAACGGGCACAAGACGTGCCCGAGGACTTCCTGAGGGCACCACGCGTCAACGAAAAGACGGCCGCAAGGGATGATCCAAACGTGCCTCCACCTGTTACATTACGTACTTGCGCCAGTGCTCACACTAGTCAACCACTTCCCCATCTTTCTTCTTCTGGGCCGTTTTTGTCAACCATGCTGCCCACTCCATCTGTTGCCGCTTTCGCATGTGTGTTTTTTGTCTCTATCTCTCTCTTTATCCTCGGCATGTTCTGGCATGGTGGGGTCTCCCTCCTGTCAGTTCGTCGACTGGCAGTTCTCATCGTCGAGCTGACGAATCGCACCCATACCTAAGGACCCCTTGGTTCCTCGGGGTGGTATTCCCGGGGATGGGGGGGGCTATGGGTGTGTGCCGTCGAATAGCCACCGATATTGATCATTGGTCGAGGTTTGCAGGCCCCCTCGCAAGATGGTATGGTTCTCAGGGCTCCACAGGTCGCCCCCCTCACCCCGATGGGTTGGGACGCCGACGCCGACGCCGATGCCGACGCCGACGATGACGACGACGATGACGACGACGCCGATGCCGACGCCGACGCCGACGCCAACGCCGACACCGCCGCCGACGCCGACGCCGACGCCGACGCCGCCAACGCCGACGCTAACGCCAGCACCGACGCCGACGCCGACGCCGACGCCGCCGCCGCCGCTGCCGCCACTGCCGACGACGACGACGACGACCCTAGATCATGTGTGTATATATATATAGATGTATATATATATATATATATCCCCTAGCGTTGCCCCTCGCCCCATCCCGCGCGCTCCGCCCGCAAGCCGGACCAGCGGCCCTGCCGCGGGCCCGGGAGCCGCCCAGCGGCAGGCGGCCCCTGCCCCTGGCGCCGGGCCGCGCGCCCCGCGCGCGTTGCTCCGCCGGCATTCTGTGAAATGCAAACCTCTGCAAAAAACGCGGGGTGCCACTTCGCATGACGACCCCTCCGCCCCCCAACCTTACAACTTCGAGGCCTTTCCTCTGGGCGGCGCGGAGTTGTAGGAGGAGGAGGAGGAGGAAGAGGAGGAGGAGGGGATATTCAAGAATAGTCAAACAATAGTCTGGGACGAATCTTTTTGTGACTATTTTTGGCCATGTTGGGGTCCGGTTTGGGTATTTCCCTACCTAGGCTCTGCCTAGAAGGGTTCTTACTATTAGGCTTAAAGGGCCGGGCAGTAGAACCCGCCCCGGGCGGTTTCCCCGGCATCCGCCCCGCGGTTCCCCCAGTGACGTTCCCTTAGCTTCGCGTTGCTTATCTCGCCTTAGCTTAGCTTTTTTATCTTACCTTAGCTTCATCTTAGCTTAGCTTAGCTTCATATAAGTGTTTGATGCTGCTTTCCTAGATCCTCCAACTCCTAGGTCGTGTCGCACTGGGATAGTTTTTATTTCTCGTCCACAATCTCCCTGCAGAGGGACTTGCCCGACCGAAGGCTCGGGACGCCTTGCGGCGGAGCAGGGTTTCGTGGCCGGTCGCGCCGCCCGCGCCATCTCGCGCGCGCGCGCGGCGGGGCTAAATAGGGGTCGCGGCGGTGTCGGCGACAGTGACTCACCACCCACCAAACCACCCCAACCCAACCCGAAGGCTCAGATTTACAATCGATTTCTAGTGGGGGGGTCCGGGAACATCGACAAAAACACATATGGAGCCCATACACCCCCCCCAACCCGAAATTCGGGTCTTCGGGTTGGGTTTGGGGTGGTCTGGTAGGTAGTCAATGACGACGGAGGCCACGACCTCCGGGCAGATTCTGAGGCCCCGGCGTCGCAAGCGCCTGGGCCTCCAGCTGGAGTCCCAGCGTCCGACGGCTCGGGGGATCCCGCGCCGCATTGCCGATGCATCGGCGCTGCGGCTCGGTGCGGAGCCCGACTTCCTCCGCGCCGACGTCGCCGCCGATGCGTCGATGCCTTTACGAAGCGTCGGCGATGCGTTGGCCATGCGGTGCGACCTTCCGGCCCCATCTGCTCGGACCCCATCAAGGAGGCAATTGACGTTTCCCAACTCGGACGTTGGCGCCTGGTTTGGGGCCGGGGGGGCCCTCACAGACCTTCATCCGGCTCGAGTAGTGCAGCAGAAGATGTGGTCTGGGGCGCCGGTCCTGTCGTTCCGCGATGATGCTATTTTTTGTCAGCGTCGGATCCCAGGGAAGACAGGCAGGCAGATAGACAGAAGCTTGGCGCTCACCTAGCGAAGCCTGCCATGTCAGTTTTTTCTGCGCACCGGCTCGCGCAGCGCAGCTTCAACGTCTGCAAAGGCAGGAGGGAGTTGACGCCGAACCCGCCCTGATTCAGCTCTCGCTGCTGTGGCGTCTTTCGGCCGCTGGGGGAAGCAAACGAAGTCCAGGACCTCCGACGCATTGAGCCACTGCCCCAGTCATCTGGCCACGTGCTTCCCTTCCCCCGCCCCTTCTGATTTCTCCGTCGCCCGTGAGCCGATTTCGGGCCCCAGGGGCCGAACCTATGGTCCAGGATGGCGAACGGCCCCCGAGGAAGGGGTGGGGATTCTTTAGGGCCCGCGGGCTGAGAAAAGCACATCGCCAGGTAGCTCGGAGTACTTCCACTGTGTGACGGTTTCGACTTCTGGGGGCCGTCGCTGGGCCCCAGGACCAAGCGACTCGGGGCGACATGCTGGCCCGGGGGAGAGGGTGGGGGACGTTTGTGCGCCGCGCATTAGACATTGGTCTCGGTTCGGTTTCCCCCCTTCCCCTTCCCCTCGCTCACCCAGCGATTTGTGTCTGCTTGCTGGCATTCGGAGGGGGCAGCCAGAGAGAAAAAGAGAAGAGAAGAGAGAAAGCAGAGAAAGAGAGAGAGAGAGAGATAGAGAGAGAGAAATAATAGAGAGGTTGGATCTCCCCCAGAAATCTACCACACAAGCGTTGTTAGAGTGTTCTCTTCGTGCCCTCGCCTCCTCGTGGCCTCTCTGGACCACAGCCTCTGTCTCCTCATCCTCGCCAGCGTCGCCCGCCTCCTGCAATAGAGACCAACACGAACATACGGAAACAACAAACAAACAACATACACTCCCTCCACCTTTCCACTGCTCCACCGTCCCCCTTCCTCCGCGTTCCACAGCCTTTCCCTGCCTCCCCGCCTTTCTCTCCTCATCCTGCTCATCCGCCTTTTCATCATCATCATCACCACCATCATCACCATCACCATCACCAGCATCATCATCATCATCATCATCATCATCATCATCATCATCATCAGCAGCAGCAGCATCAGCATCAGCATCAGCATCAGCATCAGCATCAGCATCAGCATCAGCATCATCAGCACCAGCATCACCAGCACCAGCATCAGCATCAGCATCATCATCACCAGCAGCATCATCAAGATCAGCATCATCCTCATCATCATCCTCATCATCACCATCATCATCAACATTCTCATCATCATCATCATCATCATCATCACCATCATCATCATCATCATCATCATCATCATCATCATCATCATCATCATCATCATCATCATCATCATACCCTCCCAGCCATCCTCCGTCTCATCTTTGCCTTGTCTCCTCCCTCCACCCGTCCTCCTCCTCCTCCTCCTCCTCCTCCTCCCTCTCCTCCTCCTCCTCCTCCTCCTCCTCCTCCTCCTCCTCCTCCTCCTCTTCCTCCTTCTCGTCGTGAACTGCCGTCGGATCTGCTCAAGATATTTTGTGTCAGTTGAGGCTCTTGCCCCTCCCGCCCTCAGGACCATGAGTGCTGCCACAGAGGCTCTGGAAAGCCCTCAGGGCATACGAACCGTCGTTGTCAGGCCGCACCAGGCGACAGATCCGACGCAGATCTCCCTGCAGCTGGATGACCTGATCATTGTCCTGGAGCAGGACTCCTCCGGCTGGTTCGGCGGCCACAGGGACGGCGAAGAGGCCACGGGCTGGTTCCCGGGGTCCTGCGTGCGGCCTCTGGATCCCGAGCCCTTCCTCTTCCCGAGCACGGGGCGCGACGGGCAGCAGGAGCCGCTGGAGACGCCGGCGGCGGCCGCGGCTGTGCCTGAGGCGGGCAGCCCGGAGAGCCAACCGGGCACCTGCGCCGCAGGACCGCGGCGGGAGCACGGCGACCATCGAAGAAGAAAAAGCCACAGAGACATGCACTTTTGGCGCGCCGCGCGGATTTCTTGGATCCGCGCTCGGGCCCCCCCCCCGGCGGCGCCTCCGGCGCCGCCCCTGGCGCGCCAGGGAGAGGGTGCAGCGCGGATCCGAGAAGTCTGCGCGGAGCGCCAAGAGTTTATGTCTACAGTCGGGGCCCTGAAGAAGGAACCCTTTTCGTTGGTGAGGGGCTCCGTGCTCCTTGATTGCTTCACAGTTTGCCCCTGATTTTGTCTGTGGTTTTCGATGGGAGATCGAAGTTCGACTTGGGGATAGACAGGGGCCTCGTTCTCATTATTTTTGGGTTCCCTGCATCAGCGTTCCGACTGTATGTGGTCTTTCCTTCTTCCAGACCAGGCAGCCGGCTGTGCCGCCCAGGGGGCCCCGCGAGTTGGCCACGGCCCCGAGCACCAGGTGCTCCACGTGCCCACGCCGCAGCGGAGCGGTCAGGCGGGGCTGCCCGCGGCCTCGCCGCCGGGCAAGGGCCCGCTCCTGTCGGCGAAGGGCCCGGCGTTCGACGCGACGGTCTCGAGGACGCCCTGGGTGAGGAGCATCCAGGAGGAGGGACGTGAGGAGGAGGAGGAGGAGGAGGAGGAAGAGGGATAGGAGGAGGCGGAGGAGGAGGAGGAGGAGGAGGAGGAGGAGGAGGACCAGTGTAAACCCAAGAGTTTTTAACAATGTCGGAATCTGCCATCCCTCCAAGCTCCCTCATCATAGCCCCATGCAAGGGTTCACTTTCACTGAGGGAACTGCAATGTTGGAAGACAGCCGTCTGCAGACCCTGAAGCATGCCAAACCACTACGCTCGGGACTCCAGCGCCACGGATCAACCTGACTGTTGCGTCTTGACGATTTTGAATCGTGACAGAAGGCCATTCCTGGGACTTCAACAAAGCGAACCAGCGCAACTATTGCACCCTCACATTCCTGAATCTTCCAAAACACAAATTCTGGTACGTTGGTCATGGGAAGCCGTGAACATCAGCATTTGTGTAAAAGAACTGTGCGCGTCGCTGAGGTGAGAGTCACATTCTGAGAACGAACAGCCCTCAATCCGTGAAGCTCTTGCAATTTGTTGGCCTAGATGCGTGCGGCGCTAAGGCGAGAGCCACATTTTGAAAACCGACCGACCTGAAGCCATGCAATACTTGCAACTGTTTTGCTAAGGCGGGGGCCACATTTTGAAAACGGTCCGCCCTCCATTTGTGAAACGTTTGCTACTTGTTGAGCGTCAAGGGGTCATACGTGATGAGGAAGTCTCAGTCGAAACACCCGGCCCGCCCTTTCGACCGGGCTCGGGGTGCGACAGGGAGGAAGTAGTTATAAGGAAAAGGAATGGAAGAGGAGGAGAAGGAGGAGAAGGAGAAAGAGGAGGAAGAGGAGGAGGAGGAGGAGGAGGAGGAGGAGGCGGAGGAGGAGGAGGAGGAGAAGGAAGTGGACGGGGAACTTGGCAGCATGAGGGGAAGCGAGGGACAAGGGATGAGCACGCGAAGCCTCGGCGAGGAGGAGCAGGAGCAGCAGGAGAACGTCATGCCATGCCCGCTCCCTACCCGGAATGTCGGCGCCGTGTCCAACTCGGACTACCGTAACAGCAAGTAGCGGAAGTGGAGATGGGGGTCACGGGGAGGAGGAGGAGGAGGAGGAGGAGGAGGAGGAGGAGGAGAGGAGGGCAGGACGAGGAGGAGGGAGGGGACAGGAGGATGGAGGGTGAGCAGCAGAGTAAGGAGGAGTAGGAGGAGGAGGAGGAGGAGGAGGAGGAGGAGGACAGAAGAAGACGTGGAGGAGGAGGAGGACAGGAGGAGGTAAGAGGAGGGGAGACGAGGAGACGGGAGGAGGAGGAGGAGGGAGGGAAGGAGGGATGCATGACTCCACGGCTCATCCCTTCAAAGTTGGTGCAAGTCAAAAGGGTGGGGGAGGAGGAGGAGGAGGGAGGAGGGGGAGGAGGAGGAGGAGGAGAGGAGGAGGAGGGGAGGGGGGAGGCAGGGAGGAGGAAGGTAGGAGGTGGGAGGAGGAGGAGGAGGATAGGTAGGAGGAGGAGGAGGAGGAGGTAGGAGGAGGAGGAGGGAGGAGGAGGAGGAGGGGATGGAGGAGGAGCAGGAGGAAGGAGGAGGACGGCGGAGACGGCAGAGGATCGAAGGTTTCAGGGGAGTGACCGAAGGTCGCTCTGAGGGCCACGTGCGCCCCCGAGGAGCCCCGCGGAGCTCCCCGCGGGCGAGGCCGCCGAGTTGCGGGCCATGGTCGCCGGCTTGGCCGCGGAGGCCTCTGGGGTGGAAGGGCGGCCTCGGTGGCCAGCCCAGGGGGGGGAAGTGAGGAGCGGCGGGCCTCTGCAGGAGGAGGGGGAGGAAGAGGAGGAGGAGGCGGAGGATGAGGAGGAGGAGGGGGAGAAAGAGGAGGAGGAGGAGGAGGAGGAGGAGGAGGAGGAGGAGTTACCGCTACCGTTGCCGTTCCTTCGCTTGTCTTTTTTTGGGGGCCACATCGGAGGCCCTCGCCGCCACGGCCGGATTCGCCTCGGAGTTCTGGTTACTACGCAGCCCCGAGAAGTACCTACCGTTATCTTGGTTTCTTTGCCAATGCGTGCTCGAGTCGCGAAGCAATTACAACACGAGGTTTTTGGCAATGCCCAGCTTCCGGGATGGAAGACCAGCCCCATGGGAAAAGGTTGGAACTTGAGAGGGCCGCGTACTGAACAAATCAAGACATCGGATGTCTTGGGGTGGTGACCTGCACCCTTCTTCAATCTAAGACGCCGCGGTCAGGAATTGCTGCCCAGCCCGTCGCGGCGGCGGCCCTAGCGACACGCCATGACCTGCAAACGGACATCGTGTCGCTCCGCTCCGCGGGGCGGGGGGGAAGGCGAGGGTCGGAGGGTGCATGTCTTGCGACAGCGACGTGATCAGCGTGTCGCGCCGAAGCGTGGCGTGTCAGAGCCAGCGACGCGACGCGCCAAGCAAATCGATTTAAGTCAGGCGCGTCCCTCTACAGGAGGAGTATTCAAACATAGTCAAAGATAGTCCAGGGACGATTTTCTGTTTGTGTGCGATTTTTGAATATTGTGATTAAGTGTGTTGAATTTTTCGTTCCAAATCCGCATGTAGGAGGACATGCCCGACCTGATGGCAGCCAGCGACGCGACACGCCATGCAAACAAATCCTGGCCGCAGACTCTGTCCAGCTGGAGCGTTACGGTGAGGGCCTTGCCTTCGACGCCGTCCCCGCATTCCTCTGCAGCCGGCGGGAGTATATAGCCTGGCAGCGTGTCCAGATGTGGAGAAGCCAGCGGAAGCTTGGGGCGCTGCGGCGGAAGCAAAAGCAAGACGTCAGTCGAAGCAGAGATAACGGCACAAGCATGAGCTGTTGGCGCTCCGCGCGGATTTCGTGGATCTGCGCGGGGGGCCCCCTGAACGGCGCCTCAGGCGCCGCCCCTGGCGCGCTCCGCGCGCTAAGGGGAGGGGGGGTCCGGCGCAGAGCCAAGAACTCCGCGCGGAGCGCCACAAGTTTATGTTTGTGGCGTTTTGTTCCTGGCATTATTTATGTTTGATTGTGTTTATGTCTAGGTTATGTTATTTATGTTTGTGGCGTTTTTGTCTTGCATTTTGTTTGTTTAGGTTATGTTTCTGTATATGGCGTTATCTTTTGTTTTGCTGGAGACGTCAGCATGTTTGGACTCAGGGCTTCCGGCATGCGGCCTGGGGTACCCATGGATTAAGTCGGGCGTGTCCTTCTACAGGAGGAACATTCAAACATAGTTGCGAAAATAGTCCTGGGACGATGTTTTGATTATTCGTTTGACCATTTTGGAGTCTGTTTTGACTAGCTTCTATTTTTCCGCCCAGGATCCGCCTGCATGGGGGACATGCCCCACCAACGGCTGCCCGTTCTGCGCTTCGCGCGTGTGCTCGTGCCGGGTGCCTCCCGATGGTCTCGGGCCTTTGGGGGGCGGGCACGCGTGCGTGACCTCGCACCACCCCAGCCAGCCCGCCACAACCAGACCCGAAGGCCCCAACTTGCCCTCATTTCCCAGTGGGGGGCGGGGGTCGGGAACATCGAAACAAAAGCACGTGCCAAAACAGTACCCCTCCCCCCAACACTCGAAATTCGAGTCTTCTTCGTGCTAGGTTGGCGTGGTCTGGTAGGTTGTCATGGCCCGCGTTCTTGTCGCCATGCTTCGACTGTACGCCATCCACCTCTCCCTTCCTCAGACGTTAAATCTCGTTCATTTCGGCCACTGATCATCCCCGAGGTATGAATCAATGGTAGTTAATCGTCCTGAAATCGTCCCTCCGCCTCCCTCCTTGTCTTCCCGCTTCTTGCCTGCAATGCTTGCGCGTTCTTGCGTTTGCTCCGCCCTGCTCTTCCTTCCTCCCCCCTTTCTTCCTACATCGGCGTCGCTCCTGCCTCCTTCCTCCTTTTCTTCCCCCTTTTTCGCTCTCCCTCCCCTCCCTTCATCCTTCCTCCTTCTCGTCCTCATCGTTCCCAGTGCTCCTGTTACTCCTTCCTCGCACTCCCTCCTCCCTTATCCTCCTCCTGCGCGGCACGCGTGGCACGCGTGCGGCGCTTGCGCGCGCCCAGCCCAAACCTGCCTTCCAGCTAGGGGCAGGGTCCAGCTTTCTCGCAGCACCTCCAGGCCGCGGACTGCGCCCTGCGTGACGCCACGGCGGGACCCGAGAGCGTGAGACGACCTCCCAAATCCCTCCCTTCCGCTTGCTCGCCGTTCCGTGGCTGGAGACGGATTCGGACAGGGAGTTGTTTTGCATCGCACGGTCCAAGGCGACGGTTCCCCTGTCTGTCAACACATTCCTCTTGTGGGGTGCCTCATTCAGGAGTTGCAGGCCTGCCTGGCCAGGTCCGCGGCGACCCAGGGACGGTCGCCAGGAGCACCGGTCGACCACACGCGAGAGCGACCTTTCGCCGGAGTGACCTTCTGGTGCGGGCCCACTGGGGCCCCCCCCGATCACTGAACGCGGAGCGGTGGCAGCGGCTTGCGCGCCCCCCGTGAAGAAGCCGCCAGCACCGGAGACGGCCTCTCGCCTGCAGGCCTGCCCTTAAGCGTGCAGCCGGCAACACAGGAGGGGAAAACCACACAGACACAATTAACCCTCGATTCCCTAGAAAATATGGGGAAATATGGGAAGTGGGGAGGAATACAAAAACCCAGAAAATATGGGAAAATATGGGGAATCCTTTTCTTTGTGTGTATTTATTTGTGCGTCCTGGGGCCCCTTCGGCAACGGCCCGACGCGCAGGCCCGCCGCACACATCACCGCTGCGGCAGGCCGCTGCGGCAGGCCGCCCGCCTCTCCGCGCCCCCGCGGGCGCGCTCTCCGAGGGGGCCGCTCTCCCGCGCGCCGCCGCCCAGGGAGAGGTGCCCCTGGCGCCCGGGGGGCGGGCCCCTCGGCGCGGCCGCCACGGGGGTGGCACGAGGCCGCGGCGGCGCCTGCGGGCCCACCAGCCCCGCGCGCCCGCGGGGCAGTCGTCCCGGCGGGCCTCTCGGCGCGGCCGTCACGGGGCTGCACGGTGCCGCGGCGGCGCCCGCGGCAAGCTCGGAGAGCCCCTCGCCTCGGTGCGAGGCCGGGCGTCGGCCGCGGCCTCTGCGTGGGCAGGCCCAGGCGTCCGGTCCGAGCGCGAGCATCGGCCGCGGCCTCTGCAGAGGGGCGGGAGGGCGGCGCCGCATGGAGCAGCGGCAGCGTGGCCCCCCCGCCGCGGAGAGCGCCGCCAGAGGGAGCCCGCGGAGCTGCCTGCGCTGCCGCGCCGCCCGCCACGGCAGCGCGGCGGCCCTCCCCGCGGCGGCGCTGGGGCCCGCGGGGCGGCCGAGGGCACGGCGTGTGCGGGCCCGGGATGGCCTGCGGCCGCGGCGGCACTTCGGGGCCCGCCGGGCGGTGCAGGGGCCACGCCCGTGCTTTGAGTCCGCGGGGGTGCGGGTCCGCCTCAGAAAAAGGAGGGCGGACAGTCTCGCAGGAATCTGTCGGAAGCGGCGGCGGCGAAGCAGGGCAGAAACGTCGGCACCAGAGGAGTTTTGCACAGTACAGGGCGGGATCTCCGCCCTGTGCTTCAGAAACTGCGCAAGAGGTACGGCGGATCCGGAGTCAGGGGATGAGTCCCAGTCAATGGGCTTCTCCGTATTCCCTCCTCCCTCCCTCGAGGCACCCGCTTTCTTTCTCCGTTTTCTTCCTGCCTCCTCGTTCTCCGACTGCCCTCGCCGGTCGCCCAGGTACCCACCAAGTTATGGGTCGGGCAACCGTTGGGGGCAGGCGGGTTCCAGGGGAGACCGCGGTGACTTCGACGGAGAGGGACCGCTCACTCGGCCTCGAGTGGCCTCCGTCCCTGTCCCTCTCTCGTCCTTCCTGCTGCTCCTCATCCTGCTCCTCATCCTGCTCCTCCTCCTGCTCCTCCTCCCCCTCCTTTTTCTGCTCCTCCTCCCGCTCCTCCTCCCCCTCCTCCTTTTTCTCCTCCTCCTCCTCCTCCTCCTCCTTTGCAGCCATCTAGGCGCAAGCTGATCTTTCTGCGGCTGTCCCGCCCATGCGCGGGAGCGTCGGCTGAGTGAAGTGCACTGTTGCACCTCTGCGCTCTGGGCCTTCGCAGGGTGCTCTGCGAACGCCGAGGCGGCGCGCAGCGAGCGCAGGTCATTGCTCAATCTCAAATCTCAGGTCCTGGCCCGCTCGAGCCGATCACGTGAGTAAGTCTGTTTTCGCTTCCCCTTGTTCGCCCTTGCCCACGTTCGCTGTTCCCCCTCCTGGCGCTCATGGCCGATTTTCTTCGCGCATGTGATGTATAGTTCGGCAGGCGTGTTCATCGTGCGTTGTGCATGTACAGTTGCTCCAATCTTGCGCGTGGAGCCGCACGTCTGGTCCGATTGTACAGGTAGGTGGTGGACCTCGAGCCTTTATCCTAGGCGGCCAGCTCGCTCCCTATCCTCCTCCGCATCCGCATCCTTATCCACATCATTCTCCCCCGTTCTCCTCCGCCTCCCCAGGCCCCCCCGACGCTGCATTTGGTTCACAACGTGGATCCCTGAGGACTCCCCAGGACCAGCCTTTCACCCCAGGTCGTTTTTCGACGGTCCTGGGGCCCAGCCAGGGCCCCCAGGGGCCGAAAACGGCCAAGAGCTTCTCGCCGCGATCGTTTGCGCGGCGCGAGGGGCCTGCTTCCCCCGGCCCCGCCTCCTCCCCGCGCACGCTGTCCACCCTTCCGCGCCTCAGACTTTCGCGAGCTGGCAAGCAGACTTCTTCGGGTGGAGTTCTGGGTGGTGGTGTTGGTGTGTGTGTGTGTGTTGTCGGATGGGGGGCCCCACTCGAACGGGAGCCCCCCTCCCTCGGGTTCCGACAGCGCGCGCCCACGCATGTAGCGCGTTCGTCGCTTTGCCCTTGCCCATTCTCCCTCCCTATAAATTTGATTGCGTGGTGTTCTTTCATCAAGTAGTGGTCGTCATGGAGGTCTATGGGGCCGTCGTGGGGGCCTCTTGGGCCGGATTCCCCGCGGACGACCCGTGTGCACCGTGCCGCTTTGGCGTCTCCCGAGGCGTCGTCAATCGTCGACCCATACCCTGGGATGCAGGAGTGGCAAGGTGCACAGTTTGTCGGCCTTCAGGGCTGGAAACTATGTTCGGCGGCGAGCGAGGGAGGGAAGTGAGATGGGGCGGGCCTTCTCAGAAGGTTCGGAAGTCCCCAGGACTTCTTAGAAGTTTTCTGTTCCTTCCCCGAAGACAGAAAACAAAACCTTTCAGAAGGCGCGATTGCTCCTGACTAGTCCCGCCGCCTTCTGAGAAGGCCTTCTTCTTCTCAGTTCACTCCCACCCGCTCGCCGCCGAAGATTGTCGGCATTCAGGGCCGGAAAACTGTGCACCGTACCGCGCTGGAACTTCCCCTCTGGACGACGATCACTGGAGAGGAAGCATGCTGCCAAATACGTTCCAGATGTCTAAGCAATGGAACATGACTCACGCATGAAAAAACATGTGCTCAACATGTTTAGAACATGTTTCCTGCAGCTTAAACACATGCTTGACTCAGCGATCAGGTTGTTAGGGTATCCATCGTCATGGCATCCACAAAACTTCCCCCCCTCCCCCCGAAGGCGGCGGAGCTGCGCGCCCGCGTCGCCGAGCTGGCGGGCGAGACGGGCGCGCTGCAGCAGCAGGCGGCGTCCGAGGCGGCCAGGGTGGCCGGGCTGGAGGCCGAGCTGCGCTGGGAGCAGGAGCCTCCCTCCCTTTCACGGAAGGGCTCGAGGAGTCTTTATAGGCCTCTTCCTCCCCCTCCTTCTCCCCCTCCTTCTCCCCCTCCTCCCCCTCCTCCCCTCCCCCCTCCCCCCCTCCTCCTACCCTCCCTCCTCCCCTCCTCCTCCTCCCCCTCCGCCTCTCCTCCACCTCCTCCTCCTGCCCCCTCCCTCCCTCCTCCTCCCCTCTCCTCCCCTCTCCTCCCTCCTCCTCCTCCATCCTCCCCCTTTTCTCCTCCTTCTCCTCCTCCCCTCCCTCCTCTCCTCCCCTCCTCCTCCCCCCTCCTCCTCCTCCTCCTCCTCCTCCTCCTCCTCCTCCTCCTCCCCTCCTCCTCCTCCTCCTCCTCCTCCTCCGCCTCCTCCTCCTCCCCTCTCCTCCTCCCCTCCTCCTCCTCCTCCTCCCCCTCCTCCCGAGGGGATTGGCTCGGAGGGTCGCGCCGCATCGTCGATGTATCGACGATGCGGCTCGATGCAGATCCCGACTTGCTTCACGCCGACGTCGCTGCGTGCATCGCTAGCGTCGCCGGTGCATCGCCACTGCATCGCCGATGCATCGCCGATGCGGTACGACCCTACGACCCCGTCTGCTCCCACCCCATGTAGGAGGCCTCTATTCACGGATGGACTCGAATGTATACTCCACGCCGGTTTGAGCCGCCGTTTTTTGCTCACCCTCCTGGGCGCAGCGCGCGTTGTGCCCCCCCCTTCCTCTCCCTTCCCTGCCCCCCCCCCCCCGCCCAATCACGTAGTGCCCCCCCGCCCAGTCCGCCCCTCCTTTTCTCTCGAAGAAGAAACTCTCGGGGGTGGACAGAACCCCCAACAGTGACACGTCGATTAGTGAATTGTCCGTTTTCGGTTCTCGAGAGGGCGCCGTGGCCGTTATTTTCCAGGCCTGCGCCCGCCAGGTTTGGGCCTCAGGTCGTTTTCACTAAACCACGTTTTACTAAAGGGAGGTCTGTCCATCCCCGATCCCTTCCCTGCCCCCCCGCCAAATCACGCAACGCCCCCCCGCCCAGGCCACCCCTCCTTTTCTCTCTCTGGAAGAAGAAACACGTGCATGAGTATAATATGGGGCCGCGTGCGAACCCTACCCCATACCCCCCACGATTTCTGAGGGGGAGGGTATCTATATAAACTTTCGGAGGAGGAGGAGGAGGAGGAGGAGGAGGAGGAGGAAGGAGGAAGGAGGAGGAGGAGGGGGGGGGTGGGAGGGGGGGGGGGGGGGAGGGAGGAGGAGAGGAGGAGGAGGAGGAGGAGGAGGAGGAGGAGGATCTCATGGGCTCGCACGTGGCCCCCTACATAAACTTTCGGATCTCCCCGCGGAGACCTCGGGTCTGCGCTGAGGCTCCCCTGGCGCCATGGGCGGCGCCTCCGGCGCCTCCCCATGGGCGCGCTCCGCGCGCCACGCGCGGGTTTCGGAGCATGCTGATGTTTATGAATGGTTTCCCGTCCCCATCCCTCGTCCCTACTCTCTTTCTGCTCCCTCTTTCTTCCCTCCATCCTTCCACACTCTCCTCTCTCTTTCTCTCTCTTCCAACTCTTCCACCTCTTCCTCCCTCCTCCTGCTCCGCCTCCTGCTCCTCCTGCTCCTCCTCCTCCTCCTCTTGCTCCTCCTGCTCCTCCTCCCTCATGTTTTCTCCTCGTCTCCCTGATCCTCCTCCCTCCTCGTCTCCCTCCTCCCTCCGCTTTTCTCTCTTGGTCCCTGCATCCCTTCTCCTCCTCCTCCTCCTCCTCCTCCTCCTCCTCCTCCTTCCTCCTCCTCCTCCTTCTCCATTGCTTCCCCATGTGACGATCAGGAAGAGGAGGGAGATTGGTGACGGAGATGGGGAAAGGGGAGGGAACGAGAAGGAGGAAGAGGAGGCGGATTCTGATGATGATGATGATGATGCTGATTATGCTGATGCTGATGCTGATGCTGATGCTGCTGTTGATGATGCTGATGATGCAGATGATGATGATGCTGATGATGATGATCATGATGATGATGACGATGATGATGATGATGATCATGATGATGATGCTAATGCAGATGCTGCTGATGATGATGTTGTTGATGCTGATTGTGATGATGATGCTGATGCTGACGATGATCAGGATGATGATGCTAATGCTGAAGCTGATGCTGATGCTGATGTTGATGGTGATTATGATTATGATGCTGATGATAATGATGCTACTGATGATGATGCCGAAGATGATGATGCTGATCAATTATATGATGATGCTGGCGATGCTCTCGATGCTGATGCTCATCAGCATGACCATGAGCATGACCATGCTCATGATCATGATGATGTTGATGCTGTTAATGCAAATGGTGATGATGATGATGATGATGGTGATGATGCTGATGATGATGCTGATGCTGCTGATGCTGATGCTGATGCTGCTGTTGGTGATGCTGTTGATGCAGATGATGATGATGATGCTGATGCTGATGATGATGATCATGACGATGATGATGATGATGATGATGATGATGATGATGATGATGATGCTCATGATGCTGATGATGCTAATGCAGATGCTGCTGATGATGATGTTGATGATGCTGATTGTGATGATGATGCTGATGCTGATGATGATCAGGATGATGATGCTAATGCTGAAGCTGATGCTGATGCTGATGCTGATGGTGATTCTGATTATGATGCTGATGATAATGATGCTACTGATGATGATGCCGAAGATGATGATGCTGATCAATTATATGATGATGCTGGCGATGCTCTCGATGCTGATGCTCATCAGCATGACCATGAGCATGACCATGCTCATGATCATGATGATGTTGATGCTGCTAATGCAAATGATGATGATGAGGATGATGATGATGATGATGATGATGACGATGGAGATGATGCTGATGCTGATGATGATGAGGATGATGATGATGATAACGATGATGTTGCTGATGCTGCTGATGATGTTGATGGTGGTGGTGATGATGATGATGATGATGATGATGATGATGATGATGATGATGATGATGATGATGAGGAGAAGGAGGCGGAGGAGAAGGAGGAGGAGGAGGAGGAGGAGGAGGAGGAGGAGGAGGAGGAGGAGGATGGCGACTGTGGGCGGGGGGACGAGGACGAGGATGAGGAAAGGAGAAGGAGAAGGAGGAGGAGGAGGAGGAGGAGGAGGATGTAGTAACGATTTCGCAGTTGTCCAGCGAGGTCCCAGTGCAGCCTCTCGGTTTCCCACGAAGGCGCCGCGCTTGGCAGGCTTGGCTTCTAGTAAGCCGTGTCACGGGGATTCGGGCGGCGGGGTACAGGGGTCGCTCTACTTCTGCTCCTCCTCACCCCCTCCTGTTCCTCCTCGTTCTTCCCCCCCCCCCGTCCCTGACAGCATACTCAGTTTGTGGCGCCTCGACCGCCCCCCCACCAGCCGATCCAAAGCGACGTCCTGGGGAGTTGGCTGGAGGAGGGGCGGATAGGCAAGTGCGCCCCACGCGGGCCGAAGCTGGGCGCCGAGGCCCCCCATGAGGAGCTCATGAAGCGCTCCCAGGAGGCCCCGAGCGGGTCCCAGGAGAGCTCGGAGCCGCGACAGGGCCAACAGCACAACCTGCACTTGTCGCCGCGCTGGTCGCAGGACGGCCCCACGACGGTTCCATCGGCTCCGAGAGACGCCCCCCCCCTCCACCCAAAGCCCACCCCCCTCCCTCCCAAGGGGCCCAAGAATGGCCCCAGCGGGGCCCCCAAGAACACCTCCAAGGAGCTTCAAAGCAGTCCTTCGAACGTACGAACCACCACATCGGACAGCTGTCCGGGCCTGTGAAGATCAGGTGGGTGAGGCCATGGCCTCCCGCAGACATGCAGACATGCATAGGAACTGCGGGACACACAACAAGTTATACATCTCCGCAACACACAAAAAATATGACGAAGGAGGAGAGGGCTTCCAGGCTCCCCCCAACCCGATAATCCGAGGCGCCGCCCGACATGAAGGCTCCTCTGTGCCCCCGTCCGTCTCTCCGCCGTTGGCCAGGAGGGGCGGCCCCCGCGCCCTGCTGCCAG